TACCTCCTTTGCTTCCCAAGGCCATTGGTCTCCCATGTTAGTACCTCCACACACATAGCAGTTGGTAACATTAAGACTACCGGCAATACTCTCGGCTAAATCAATGAACAAGTTTTTAGCATTATGGGGGATCTTATTATCTATGCTCATCTCTTCATAAAAGGAATGGTATACTTGATGAGTTTGGGAGGTTACCGTATCAGTCTCTATCCCTATAAACAATATTGTCCCAGGGTCTAAACCCGTCCCATATATTTGAAACCCAAATAAATTACCATATTTATCTAAGAACTTGTCAGGGTTATTTATAAGTATATGGATTGGATTGCATTCCATAGACTTACAATATGGATTAGTAGGCAACTTAGTCACAATCATGTCCTTGTCTGCTGTCTGTCCCCAAGTCGCCCACCCCACACAAGACCAATATGGGCAGAAGTTATAATCTCTATTTGGGCATCTTGGACTTACATATTTATTTTTACTACTGGGACAAATATATTTATCGTTAGACCCATACGTCCTCTCCCATCTAAGATCCCCACATACATTCCACGGCTTTCTACCACTTGATATTGCTTTACACGCATCAAATAGCAGAGCACCTGAAGAATATACGGATTTTAATACCGTCTTATTAATTAGGGTCCCCTGAGAATCTCCATTTCTGAGAGTCAACCAAATTGTACGGGGTTGATACTCAGGACTGAAGCACTTAGGTTCTCCTACTCCTAAATGACACACACTATATTCTATATTTAAGTATCTACATCTTGATACATCTCCTTTACACTCATATTGCGAATGCCAAATTAGGGTCTGGGATATATGGTTACCTGTTCTTGTAGTCTTAATGCATACCTCACAGCTAGGAGTGTTGGTACCTCTACCTTCCTGAATATAAAAATACACATAAATAAACATTATTAAAAATACATCTTTCGTCGTCATCCTCAGTCTTCGTCCGTGCGAAGGCACCTCAGCTTCCAGGATGTAAGGACTGCAGGGAATGGAGTTCTGCTCGTCTTCACAGGGGTCCCCTCAAGACTTTCCCTGACTTATACACTCGTTGGTGAGTGGACAGGCTTTATTATGGCCTTCTCACTCACTTGCCAAGTCTCTGAAACAATAAAATTTGTAATCTACAAGGTTCCTCGTCACTCCGACTGAGTCGTGCGTTTTAACCGGATCTTGCAGGGATTCTCTGGATTTGCTGTAACTTGCCAGGAATCGGCTGCTGCTGGTTTAACCCTGGAGTGATGTATCCACGGAGCCACTTCGGCTACTTTTATCGCTGTAGGGGTAGACAGAAGAACAACATAAGGACCTCTCCACTTGGGCCCTAACGCCACATTATTCCACTCTTTAATCCACACTTGGTCGCCTGGGTGGTAACTATGAATTGGGGGATAAATATTCACAGGTAATCTATCTTGTACCCATTTCTGTACCTCCTCCAATTCTGCCTTTTGTGCTGATGTTCCTTTTGCCAGTGGCCGAGCTTCTATCACCTTGTCTATCGTTGTTACTGCATATCCTGCATAGCGGATCCCTTCTTTTACATAACTACTGCCGT